AGGGAGAACTTTCAGAATCTGCCTAGCTGCAAATTTTTCCCAATGGAACCTCGGGAAAGCTCAAGGACGAGCTTTTTCTAAGGTGGGGAGAGTTGTAACACCCCAAATTCGCTACAACCACCTAGGCTCTCAATTTTGGATGGTTGGAGAAGTTTATGCACAAATCCCTACGGGCATTTGGATACCATGGAACTCGCGGATATACTACTTTTCTACTTCACTAGACAACCCACAAGTCGGAAGTGCATAAAGATGACAATAGTCAACACCACCACTGAGGAGCACGTCATCTCAACCTAGGATGTCGCTAGTCAGGTTATTAACCCTTGGAACAAGTGAGTTGACCACACTGCAAAATCTCAAGTGTTTGGATCAATTCCAGGAGTTCAGAGGCCACCGAACAATCCGATGAGATACCGGATCATCTGGCAGTAACTAAACTGCATGTAGTGAGTGGGGATGAGCTGTCCTCCACTTAACCCTTGGGCCCACTTGTCATATGCATGAAATGGATATACCAAACCTCAGCTGAAGCAGCACCAACCCATTTCACTCTCCCATTTCTCACCCTCTCCCTCTCTCTCTAAAGGAACAAGAGTGAGGAAGAGCTAGAGAGAAGATGAAGGATGGAAATGGAGATGAAGGTGGAAGATGAGGTGAAGGGATGCAATCTAAGATCATCATCTCATTAGGGTCAAGCCATCCATATCTAATGATCATGGTTAGCTCATGAGCCCTCATCTCTTTAGTTGAAGATTTCTCTCAAACCCTAATCTCAACCTCTCAAATCATGTATGGAACATGGAGTGTGGTGACCTCACATTCATCACAAAGGCAAGGTGTGTTCAATCTCTCATTATGAAGTCTAGCATCTCATGATCCCTAATCTTGGAGTTGAGCCCTCTTGCTCAATCTCATGTATTTATCACAAGTAGTTCATGGGAAGAGACTTAGCCAAATCACTAGATACACTAGATAGTCAAAGCCAAAGACTTAGCTAACCTTACCCTATCACATCCCAAGGTCATCCTAGGAGTCTAGTGCACATGCATGGATGTTCAACACTCCAAAGTAGCAACTAACCAACCCCAAACATAGAGCATAGGTTCTGTCGCCCGGTTGGCGGAGTGCCCGCTGATGCGGCAGAGTGTTCGATAAACCTCCCCAATTTAGTAAACCTCTCAATAGAGGCACCTAGACCATTATGAGTGTGAACAACGGAGTGTTCGACTATCGATCGGAGTATCCGCTGAATTATAAAGACTCACAGCCAGAAGAACTCGAGAGCACTTAGTTCCTACCAGATCGTCAGTCACTCACTTCGGACCATCCGATAAATTATATATAGAGTAACCCAATAACCTGAGATTGGCCAAAACCTATCGAAGCATCCATGAATACCATGGAGCATCCGCTAGAGCCTGAACAGGGCCAACCATAAACAACTCACCTTGACACCCGACACAGTGGAGTGTCCGTCAGTCGGAACGGAGTATCCAACAATCACAGAGAGTGTGAGTTTAGTTAACAAGCTTACCCAGACAAGTCAATAATACTAGTTAGTATCCCAAGCCAACAACACAATAGTAGACCCAACGTTAAATGTCACTTCCTAGGAACCAATAGTCATCTATCCATATTCCTTATCATCATTCTGAATCACCGGTGAATCTCTCCAATCGGATCTCTCTTGTTCTTTTCAGGAATCGTCTCAATGAGAAGCGCATATAGGACGTCATCGTTAGCTTCTAGATGTCTGAATGACAACACCATTAGGTAGGCACCCCACCATTATGAACCCTACTTTGGATACTTATCAAGTGGCATTATGAGTTATGCATTGCATGTAGAGTTGGATAATGAACTCTTTCACATAACACTTAGAGTAACTCTTTAATCTGTTAGAAGCCTCCCATCTTTACAATGGGAATGGGAACGCTTAATGCTTATTTCTTAGTTGCTTGGGCAATGGTAGAAGTCAAGCATGAGAAGGGAACTCATACTCGCACGTGTAGGATGTTACACCTAGACAATTAACTACTAAAATCAGTGAGGGTACAACTTGACTCATCTTACTAATCTAGCTAAGGAATAATATCCCAAATGTGATAATCTTGATGATAACTTGGACATCTTGCTCATGCGAGGGGTAGGTCATCGTGAGTGTGGGATCTCAGACGACATAGCTCGTGGAGCAGTAAGGACCATGTATTGGGATACGTAAGTCCGAGTAACCACCCGTACAGACCACATGTCGCAGATAGGGTCGACAAGCCAAGTAACTAATTGCGACTGGTTTATCCATGAAACTGGCAAGGGGGTGGCGTCAGTCAGGAATGTCCGGGACATTGACCGAGAACCCAGTCGAACCTTTCATGTGACACTTGGGCAGGATTAGGGAAAGGTTGGAGAACGTGAGGCAACCCTTACTACCGGACCCGGTGTATGGTGGTTAGTCCCATTTTCTGTGTGGGTACGGTTGTACACCTCTGCAGAGTCTTGAAAGCCTAGAGTCCTTTGGGGCAGAACTATTCAGTTGTTCTTTCTTTCTATACCCATGGTACAATGAATGATGGACTATGAGCACTTTTGCTATAATGATAAATACTGTAATTCTAATGTTGAGCATAGCATGCCATACTCTTAACGAATATCATAGCTTTCCGCAACCATACAAATGCCTAATAATTACCCTATGTATCCACCAAATATTATATGTTGGAATTAAGTCCTGTGAGTATGAAATGTACTCATGGCACAACCGTTAAGTTGTTTTGCAGGTAATCAGGGCATCTCCCCAAGGCTAGCTTCGGTGAATGCAAAGGAAAGCAAACCTTGGAACAGGCGTTCTCCAAGATGAGCTGCATGTAACTCGACGAGTAGATGAACGACAAGTGTGCCAACCCAGTGCAGGGATAGAGTTGATCGGAGCATTAGACTTAGTAGTAACCCCATTCTCTTAAATCCTATTTTGTTATCAAAAATGTTTTAGGAACAAGCGTGAGACTGGAGTGCGTATATGATTGAATTGCCTAGTATGCATTGTATTGGGTATGTGTGTGTAACTCAGCACAAAGATCCTGACAAGGAGTTGCTACGTGCGCTCCTGGCAACCTCGCGATGTTGATTTGCTTAAATTGAGGGATCAAGTGGTCGACTCTCGATTTAGGTGTATTAACGCGTCGGGTACCCCACACCAGGCAAAGACTGCTATATTGGTGGGACTGAATATAATTAGGGTTTCATAAATGCATTCACCCCCAACTTACATACGGTCTAACTCCCCCTTTTATATTATAGGGCATCATTCACTGGGGTACCCCTTTACATATTTACCCATTGACAGCTATGGCATATTCCTAAGGATACCCTAGTACAAGCTTAAACTTAAACTATTGGGGGGGGGCAGTTTCGGTCTCCTCTGTCTCTACCGCCTCTGCTTCCTGGGGTACCCCTTTATATTAGCGGCTTGCTAGCATCATGACTCCATTCTGGAATGTGCAGAGGCTCCGTTGCGACAGTTGGGACCTCCGTTCTCAATGCCTCTGGTCTTGTCCTGCAACCAGCTCAAGCCGCCCGGGCCTTCACCTTCGTTGCTTGGCCTCTACACCGTTCCTTGGCTGTGGACCTCCGTCTTGGAAGGTCTTCGCCATTGTTCCTGGGCCTTCGCCCAGCCGGAGGGTGCCGCCGAAGGCTTGTTCCTGAAAAAGTCTAGCAAAACGCACATCTCATGATTTCATTAGTTACTTTGGTTAGAGCCTAGGCTAGCCTCCGCGGCTCAAATGTCTATGTCCCAACAAAACCATCTAAAATTAAATAGTTGTCAACTATAAAGTTTTAGTTCTCTTTAAACTCTACAATTTTCATATAAAGTTTATCTTGATTTATCTTGATCTGATCTCATATAAAAAAGTTAAGATTTTTTTTTGTTCAAAAACAACTATCACTAATGGTTCAAGCCATAACCCCATAGTGATAAGTGGACCTACCGCTAACGGTTCGTGGCTTCAACTGGCAATGATAATCGATAGTCTATCACTGTCGGTTAAAACCACGAACCGACAGTGATAGACCATGAATCACTGCTGGTTAGAGCTACGAACTAGCAATGATACTCTATATATCAATTGGCTGGAAGCAGCAATTCTTCCATGATTTTAGTAACTCAAGTTCTTTTTGTTCTGATTTGGCACCTTAAGATATCGAAAACTACATTTTCTACGTTCTTTCCATTATTAGCCGATGTTTGCAACACATTGATTGGTTTTTGTTCACTTGAATTTAGATTTTAACATGCATTTTGTGGCCATCTTTTTTTACTTAATAAAACTTGTTTGACTACTCTCCTTTGGTTTCAGCTTTGGACCGATTCTTTCAATTATGATATGATAATGCTCTTCAGGGAAGGACCTTGGAGCTGCATACATAGTGTGGATGCAATCTTTCAATGGTATCCCACCCTCGGTACATCACTGTAAAATGATTTTTCGGCGAGAGTTTCCTCTGGTTACACTTAGAGCAAAAGGAAGATTACATCCCTCTATAGATTTATGGCTAGAAGCTTATGTTTAATTTTACTTATCTTTTGAATTTGTAACTTTTTTGTTTCATGAGCTGGATGTTTGTAAACTTCTCTTCCTATTAATAAATTTTCCAGTAGGGGAACACACCCCTCCTGTTTCATTAAAAAAAATGTGGATTCCTCTCGCATCCTTGCTCTACCCTGGTTGAAGGTCGATGGATATAATGTCTAGTTATGTACCATTTTAATAGAAAATATGATGAAAATATAATTGAAAAGGCTTCAAGAGACTAGATAGCACCAAGTAAATTAAACTATAAATTATTCAACCGAGGCAGAATACAACATGGCTCTAGGCGACATGCTTGCTCTAGCTAATCGACATGGCTCTAGGCGAATGCAGTCGAGGATTCGATGCCTCGGTTGCAGTTGGGGATCTGGGTGAAGGCGCTGACTGGGAATGATCGAGTGTTGTTTCCTAGCTGGATGTTGAGCTGTTGCCTGCACGGGTGACTTGGTGCAAAACGTGCCAAGCAAATGCCACCTGCACACTCACGCCAGATACACTGCTAATGGAACCAGACTTGATAACCCCGTTTACTTTGCTAGCGTACACAAACTCGAATTTCCTACCGGAGAATGTGACAAAGGCGTTGCAGTCACCGGATAGTGTCACCTCCAAAGCTCCACCGGCACCAAGCACATACGACTGCACACCAAGTGGTAGGAGGCCCTGCGGCAAGTTGTTCTGCTCCAAGAGGTCATATACCGTCCCGGCCGGGTTAATCTGTATGGTTCTTGCATAGGTGGCTCGGAGCATCAAAGCAGTGAAGGCGGCCACAAGAATGAGGAGCTGCTTGTTGGTCATGGCTGGAGCTTAGGCTCTAGTGATGATCAAGTCGAACCAAAGAGAGTTTATATATGAGCGCTGGCCCTGGCCTTGTTTATATAAGCGGCCAGCAAAATCTAAATCAGTAAAATTTTAATTACATTTGTTTCTACCTAAATAATATTCCACAGCGAAATTAAACGTCCCTTAATTTTTATAAAGGAAATTAAGCATGTACCAATATATGCCTTCATCACATACTCCCTCCATCGTCCTGTAATACATTGCATTCTAGCATTCAAAATTTATCCTTAAATATAATGCATTCTAGAAGAAAAAACCAATTTTATATTTTACATTAAATACTTTCCATTTATCAACTAATCACTATTAGTCATGTTGATGATTGCGTCTGATTAGGAAATAAAATGAGTATTCATGCGTCTTTTATGTTCTCTCTTAATTTGTCTTAAAATTCCTAGAATACACAATATTATAGAACAGAGGGAAGTACGTGTCAAAATAGATAAATTAATGCACGACCAAACATATCATATTTTATTTATGTCTAGGTTTGGGCACTTAAATTCATTAAAACTCTCCATCACTACAGTAATCATACTTTCTAGGGTTAATTCAAACATCCGATTATAAATGTCACAGTTTGGAGAAGCACCATTATTAATTGCCTGATTTTAAACTTGTCATTATAATTCGTTATTTAGCTAGACTGGGGCTACACCCTTTGTCCCAAGATAACTGCACATCTCACTTTTTAAAGAGTCAAACTTTTTAAATTTTGACTAAATTTATATAAACTATTATCAACAATTGTATCTTGAAATATTATTATTATGAAAATATATTCCACTATTAATTCTATTTATTATGTATACATATTAATACAGTTTTCTATGTACTTGGTCAAACATAAAAAAATTAACATTATAGAAAAGCGAGGCGTGCAGTTATTTTGGCACTAAGGGAGTACGTTGGACCATGTAGACGTGTTGGTATTTCTTATGCTCAAGTGAATAATTACATAAGCGCATAGAATACCGGTGTTGCACTTCATCATGGAGTAATAACTTACTACCGCATGAAAACTGATAAGATATGCTAGCAAGAAACACAACTATTGTCATCTTTTGATGGGATCACCTAACAAGAATCATATTCTTAGTACATTCTAGGGCAAAGTGGTCCACGTCTCCCTGGGATTACTATGGGCGTGTTTGATAAGGTGGCCCAGCAGCTCGGCTGCGCCCCTGGGCTGCAGTTGCTGTGTTTGGCATCCTTAGACCGCTCCCCAGCCGGCTCACACGCTCCTCAAAGCAGCCAAAATGGTGGCTCCCAGGAAACGAAAACTACATCGTTTCTCTGTGGCTCGGCTCCCTTCAGCGCACAAACCCAAGTTCGAGTCACCTACCACTCGCATGTCTCTCACCGACCGGTGTCCTCTCCGTTGCCGTTGCTGTTGCTGCGCCGGCCGCCTGCCCCACCGCCACGCCGAGCACTTGCGCCACCACCACGCTGAGCCAGCAGCCTCGCGCATGCGTGGTGCTGCCAGCGCCGTACCGAGCCGGCCGTGCGCGTGCGTGAGTACCGCTGCTGCCCACGGCACCGTCCCTGTCCTCCTGCCCCTCGTCCCTCACAAGTGCTGTTCTATCCCCTCCGCCGCTGCCCGTGGATCCGCGTGCCTGCGGCGTCATCGTCGTCCTCCTTCACGGTCCCAGCAATCTCGACCATGGTCGATGGCGTGTTCCGCATCCCCACGCAGTTGTCCTCGTCCTCTAGCTCTTCTCGTCCCTCACCGGTGCTGCTCCGCACCATGGCCATTCCTTGGCGTTGAACTTGCTTGCGCCCATCAACTGCTCGATGAAATGCCAGTGAGGACTTCTCTGGTGGTAAGGCTACGACATTCCTATGCAAGGTAGCCATACTTCTTCCGTACAGCCAAACATGCACGTTCTCGTCTTAGCTCGGCTTTGCAGGGACATGCAATCACACACACTCACTTGTACCATTTGGACCGGACTCTGGCTGGCCATAGCCAGGCCAGTAAGCCAGGCCGGCCAGATGCATGTTATCAAACACGCCCTATCTACTCTATGCCATTTGAGCGTGCTAATGCTGGGTGGACAAGCACGTGACCCACTCCGGACTTCCCCAAACAAATCTTGAGTCACGCTCTAGGTAGCACCTTTGGGCGTCCCTCATCCATGGACACCTCTACCGGGCACCAACCTTCATGGATCTTGACCTTCTGTGACCTGCTCAAAGCAAACAAAGAGGGAGAATCATACCTTCGCTACAGTGCCAATTCTATGATTTTGAGGGCCCTCTGGCGAACTCGTCGCGACGGCCCATCGAGACCATATATAAAACTTTATAATCTATAGATGCTATTTTTTCTTGCAAAATGAAAACAAATCCAATGATATATTTTTAATTTAACATGTTTGATAATTATGGAGGAACGATATAGACTAAAACAGGAATATATTTGTACTTCTAGGACTAATATGATTACCTTAAGTAAGAATAGAACTCCACAATATCTATTGCTTCTCATAAAAAGATACTTCTTTGGGTATTTCTTGATGCAAAATCATCAAGGACGGTATTGAGATCAATAGTGTCCAAGATATCCCCCTCGATGGTGCACATAGCCAAACCATTTAGCCTTTCTTGTGACATAGTTGATCTCAAATAGGGCCAGATCTGATCGGCTGATGAGTGATGAATTGATGAAGACTGAAGTGATGATCGGCTGATCACATCGTCGAGTCGTCGAGTCGAGCCTAGAGTCCTTCCCTCGCTGTATTACTGTATACCTAGGCTTGGGCCCCTCCCTCGCCTGGGCCCTCGGCCGTCGCACACTGTGCACCTCTGTAGGGCCAGCCTAGTCGAGTCGGCCAAGTGTGCGGAGCTGTAGGGATAGGGGGATTGCATTCTGAAGGTACAGATCACAACATTAATATCCTTTAAATTGGTGTGCACAGATCTGATTCTTCTAGTACTGATATGGATTACAGTGGTTCTGATGATTATGGGTGGATAATAACAATTATGTTATTGCTGCGATCCGATCAATTGCCCTGAGCAAGTAATGTATAACACAAGAACAGTAAAAGTCTACTAGAGTAGTTCGCCAATGCAAGAAGCTAGCCACCTTGTACTACTAAAAAAAACGTTTGTAGCAACGGGATAATTTTTTTGTAGGGGCAGCTGGTGATGGAGCCGTCCCTACAGTGGACGTGCTCGGGACCCACGAGACCAGCCCTCCCCGGCCTACAAATGGAACAGTAGGGGCGGCTGGTGATACGAGCCGCCCCTACAAATGGGTCGATTTGTAGGGGCGGCTCACTCACCAGCCTCCCCCGGTGTTGCGATTTGTAGGGGCGGCTCAATCACCAGCCGCCCCTACAAATGCCCCACGTATAAATACCTACGATTTGTAGGGGCGGCTCAATCACCGGCCGCCCCTACAAATGACCCATGTATAAATGCCTGTATCCCCTTCTTTCTCCTCGGGTCACTCACTCCAACCCGTGAAAAAAGGTAGGGAGGCCTTGGGCACCTCCCAAATAATTAGACTACTAAGGGGGGAAGGTTTTGGTCTCAAATCCTTTGATGGAGAGGTTGTAGAAGGTAAGAAAATGCTATTCCACATTTTTTTTGAAGTTTTAATGGTTAGTTAGTGAGTAATTAGAGTTTTGCTTTTCTCTCTCTTCTATAGTGCTTGAGCTACTTATGAAGAAAATTAGAGCCAAGTTTTGAATGTACGAGGGTAAATTAGGTAGGGAAACAAGATCATACCCTTATTTGGTCCATGTTTTTTTATTTCAGTGAACAATTAGTTAGTTTTATGGATGTTTCATGTGCATGTAGATCTAGATCTAGGATTTGGTTTTTTATTAATTTTGTTTTTGTAAATTTATGTTTGATAAAATTGGACTAGGGTTTGCATGAAAGATATTGGGTAAACTATAATTGTTGCTAATTGTTGTCTTTGAAATTGTTTATTGTAATCAACAAATATGTATTTTAATTATATATGGATAAATGGGCCCTTAATTAATTTTCCTCTACCATGGTGTGTTTGCATGCTTCATGTAATTATATTTGATTTATATTCATATATATCTGAAGTATATACAATTATTCTCAAGTAATTATTAATTTGATTCATTTATATATATATATATATATATATATATATATGAATAAGTAGTCCTTTAATATTTATTTTGTTGTTGTTATAAAAGATGGAGTATAGGAACTCTTGGATGTATGGTTCGTTAAGGTTCAAGGCAGGTTTCCGTGAAGAGGTGGATAGATTTATTAAAGCCGCAGAGAAGCATGCAACGACGTTGACAGAGAATAAGGATACAATTATTTATCCCTGTAAAGATTGCAAGAACCGTATGGCATGGACAAATGTGACTATCATCAGATCATATTTGATTATGCGAGGATTTATTGAGGACTACACAGTGTGGATTCATCATGGTGAAACGGTTATTGTTAACGACGATGAGGAGGAATACAACGACGAAACCCTAGAATCCCTGTCCCAATATTCAGCAGAGCTTGATGCACGAATGGATCCCGAGTTTGGCAATGAACAAGGTGGTGATGCTAGTGGTTGGGATGGTAACGACAAAGGTGGTGCCAATAATGATGGCAGAGCACGTGTCAGGGATGAAGATGATTTGGAGGACATGATTCGAGCCCTTGGACTAGAGATTTTACTAAAGAGCCCGAAAGGTCTAGAAAATTTGGAAAGGGTGACAAAAGCATCGAATGAGACTATGTATGGTGTTGAAAAGGGTTGTCCGACACATTGGACATTGCTACGTTTTGTGCTTGAGCTACTCATCCTGAAGGCTAAGTACGGCTGGTCAGAGTGTAGTTTCAATGATCTATTGCGTCTCCTGTCATGGGGGCTGCCACAACCAAACTCAGTTCCCGCCAACACATACCAAGCGAAAAAGGTCATAAGTCCATTGACAATGGGGGTTAAAAAAAATCCATGCATGCCCCAACCACTGTATCCTTTTTCGTGGCAAAACATTTAAGTCACTGGATAAATGTTCCCAGTGTAGGGCCAGCCGGTACAAGAACAATGACCTTTACGGTGGGGACAAAGCCTCGACAGGAAAAAAGAGGAATAAGAAGGGTACAAAAAGGTGGTACAAGAATCTTAGCCGCTAGAGGACACTCCATTAGGCAACGATGCAAAGCAGAGAAGAATTTCTGCCATGGTAATGTGGTACCTGCTAGTGATGGACTACTTGAGATGTATCTTCCTAAACCCTAAAGAAGCCGCACTCATGACATGATGGGATGATGAGCGCAAAGTGGATGATGATAATATTACACACCCGGCTAATTGTAGTCGGTGGCAAAGGATCGATGAGAAGCACAAAGAAATGGTTCATAGCTAGACTCTTGAGTAGCACCTCCAGCGCCTAGGTTTGACTCCCTATGGTAGCCAATTTCAAGGATGGTTAAAAAAAACTCCCTCAGGGTTCAGGGCTGTTTCTTGGTCTGTTAATGACTGTGGTTTCTTGTTTCAAACAATATACCTAATAAATGACAACTTATAAATCAAAACTTAGTGTTCAAGAAAATTGAGTATCTGATGTTCTGCATTGCTCTTTAAAGCTCACACACTAACAAAACTTGGAACTATCTGCACTACAAATGCCTGAAGAACAGAACTGAAAAAGTTCCAGGTCTCCTTAAAGGCTTAAAGACAACTCCGTAACAAATACAGTAGCACAGATGCCAAAACTCTAAGCCAGTAAGCCTTTTTCGATATAGTAGAATGACTGAGAGGTTGAAACATAGCAATTGATCATGAAAACACCCAAAGCTATAAATGATTTATTGATTAGGAAAGCTAAAAGGATACTGAAGCAAAACTTCTTGCATAATGCACTTGTTGATAACTATATCAAGGGGCATATCAAACTGTGAACTAAAGTCCACAGCTGGTTTTTTCTTCTTGTCGATACTGACTCAAAATCAAAGCTGGCAAGTGATTGGTTCTTGCTTTTCTGTTGCACGTCACTCTCCATACGGTAACAAGCTGCATTCTTCAGTATGGGGTTCAAACTGAGATTGTAAGGAATACTGGTATTCCATGGCTGATTTATATTACCAAACTTCCCATTGTTTTTACTCTTTGATAGTATAGTAGGCCCTGATTCAGAATGTAATGGATAAACTGCATTACCATGTGATACTTTCTCTACTGACCTTTTATGATCAGTATATAAGAACTCCCCAGCTGAATCAATGTTTTTAGATGAGGAACTGGTTCTCTTCATAAACCTGTGAAACGGGGAAAACTAACTATACTGATAATCTAGTTCTAAACCATCAGGCAATGCAGTATGCCTAGTATTCTGTGAGTGCACAGGAGCATGTTGGCAACTCAAGCTTTCATCTTTCTCACACTCATCAATAGAGATTGCACAACTTATTCCGTGGTGAACTGAACTGGCTTGGGAAGAAAGCAGCTTCCTGGTTACCGAGGAGCATTTTGCGTCATCTGTCCTACTATTAATACTACTGTTGTCCTACTACTAGTACTACTGGTTGCTGTTTTTTCCTATGTGTTAAATCCCTGGTACTATGCATTACTATGCATCCCTATATATTAACTTGCTGTTTTTGTCCTCTCATTTGCTCTCAGATCCTTTGCGATTGTTCTTGATCATCAACTGCTACTCTATGTTTGCTAAGTAACTGTTGTTGTTTTTTGTCAAATCTCCCCTCTCCTCTCATCTCCTTTGTTTTGCCGATGATGAAATTGTCCAAGTCCATATATTATATGGAATATGAGCTGATGATCAAGAACTTATGAGGAACTTGGCATCATTAGCAGTCGCCCCTACATTACCTTCTCTTCTCTTCTCTGTTATGATGCCTTGATGCTCCAAGTTCATGATCAAATGATGATTGACATGTTTCTGAGGCCTCTACTACTGCTACTACTCGTTTTTTATATATTGTTGTTTTATAGGACTACTTTGGTTTATAAACCTTTTTGATTTCTTATACCTTCTCGCATACCTAAAACACATTTTCTTGCATCTATTAGAACAAAGCGCTATCTTTGATTGGTGAGCTGGTGTGAGCAGTGAGCTATAAGTTATTACTTAATAGTGTAAATATATAAATAATGGATTGTTGTGTCTTCCTGTCAAGAACTGGCTCCTTAGCATTTTCTTATGTGCTGTAGAACTGCTAAGCAAGTTAGAGAACCTTTTACCCTTTTCTTTTTCCAGTCCATCATTATGAAGCGAACCTTCTATTAAAAATAAAATTTAGGGATGAACTAATAATGGTGATCATCTTGTTTGTGCGGGAGTCAAACAGAAAATTAGGCAAATGGTGTATGTCTCTCTTTAGAGAATTGATAGTTTGATACTATCACCTGGTTAGATATGTTAGTAGAAAAATTATTAGTCTGTTGGTGATGGTGTTTGGACTTTAGATGAGGCTTTCCATGAGCTGCCAATGCTGATGCTGCTTTGTAGACCCTCCTCTCCTAGTCCTACTACTTCTACTCTTCTCCTCTACTGTCCTCTTCTCCTACTTCTTCTACTCCTCTCCTCTCCTGTTCCTCTACTATAACTGTTTTCCTTGACATCAATTTAGGAGAAGATATGGCCGAACTCCCTTCGCCGGATCTGCCAAATAATTATGTGTATGATCTGGGCTTCCAACCAGCATTGGGGAGGGCAAACCACCCATATCAAGTATAGTAAGTAACATGTTTAAAGACACCTCAATAGATATTTTATTCTGATATATATAATTCTTAAATGTAGACAATTCATCCTATACCATGGTTCAGAGAGACATTCTCAAATTTTGGGGTTAATTTCCTCAATGTTGATACATTCCCTATAGATGGTCGAATCAAGCAATGTTGAATTGACTTTTCTATTCTCGCTAGGGCGGGTAACCAACAAGGTATGGTTTTATACATCGATAGGACGAGCAGCGGTCAACCTCATGACATTACTGCGCAAAAATATGTTGTGCGAGCATGTTTAAGGGCTCTTCAAAATATTGGATACAATATTCCTACATACTCCTCCATGAGGATTGCTACTTTGAATGTGGGCCTCCACCACGATATTGGACTGTTTTGTGCAAAGCTTGCTGAGGACAACATGAATGATGTGGTCAGTCTCATAACTTATATCCAGATTAATTGTTATGTTTATATATATGCATGGTTCTGATAACCATATTTTTTCAAACACTTGCAGATTCAGGAGAACGACGTAACATACGCAAGTTTTAGCTTTGAAGCCATTTTAAACCAGGCCATGTATCACTTGGGTCATTATAAATGGGAATATGGTGCCCCTATTCTCACTTCAGAGGGAATCCAGGTAAAAATTCTTGTGACTAGGAGTGAAGGTTCTCGACCAATGCTGATCATCGTCAGTAGACATTGTGAATGATCTTGTGAAGCAAGGGGAGAGTGCACTAGTAAATACATTGCACTACATTAGTGACATTTTAACATATGAAATGAATGATATACACTTCTCCGAGTACATGGTATGACGTTAGAAAATTCTAGGAAGTTAAATTACTGTTAGTTGTAATAATGAACTGATCTAAATTATTATGGTTTGTAATGAACAAATTTAAATTATTATGTGTTTGTAATGAAGTAATTTAAATTCTTATGGATCTGTAATGCATATATCTTCTTGTCAATTAGTTGTTGATATAATGTCCTTGTGAATTATATATTGATCATATTTAAATTTTCAAATTTCAATTTTTTTGTGTGAAAATGTACCGTAGGGAAACAGGTATTATAGGGGCGTCCCTACAAATCAATTTTGTAGAGGCAGCTGGTTGTAGGGGCGGTTCTTAGGCCGCCCCCTACAAATCAGCGATTTATAGCCACGCTTTGGTAGGGGCGGCCGGCCAAACCGCTCCTACAAATACCCATTAGCCGCCCCTACGAAGCATATCTGACGTAGTGTTGGTGAGTGGTGACCCTATGTGATGTCTCAGTGTCACTGAGGTAGTAGCGCACTAGCTAGAGCAGGCACTGTGTCTTGCGTTGCGTGTGATCGGTCCAGCACTGCGGGAGCCACAGCCACATGCTTGCATGGTTGATGCCCAGCTGCAGGCTTGCAGCACATGCACTTGATTTCTCATCTACTACTAGTTTGTTGTGGCTTATAGATGGTCGAAATGAGTCTGCAGCTTTGCTTGTTCTACTGATCTGACCTCCCTCTCGCTCTGCACCCGCCTGCTGCACAGCAGGAAGAACATGGGCGCCAAACTGCCTGAACAAGGACGGTCAAAAGAGATATGCTTTAGCAGTTCACGAACATCATGCATGCATGGTTCTCGCATGGGCCAACTAATAACGCCCAGTCGCCCACTACTGTTCAGTTGTCCAATGCAAGATGCGTGTATCCATTTACCTGCCAAGTTCGCCACATATATATGCACTGCTTGCTCGATCAGTTGCTCATACCGTAGTGGACTGACCCTTAGCTCTCTCTTCTCAGTATTCAGTAGTAGCTCAATCTTCATCATGGAGGGCGGTTGACGTTCTTCCACCGCGCTGCTCCTCCTCGCGCTTATGCTCGCCGCCAGCAGCACCACCACTGCAGCGGCGGCGCAACGTTTCCAGCTGCCCGCCAACTGGAGCTACAAGCTCATCACCGTTATGATCAGTCGCGGTGACCGGGCCAGGTTAGCCGTGAGGGCAGACGACTCGTCAATCGCCGGCTTCGCGAACGGGAAGAACAACTGGTTCGCCATACAAGGAAGCGAGGACCTCCTGGAGTCCTTCCGGAACAGGTACGGCGGCGGCGACGACATCCCCAGCCACGGCCTTGTCAATCTGCTGGGTGCGCTGGTGAAGAAGAATGCCACATCGTAGGACATATGCTATTACTAGCCCACTATGTAATAAGCTACAATATTCGTGCGTGTAGCCAGTCACTGATGTGGTGCTAGAATTATCATTCGCGCGTGTGTAAGTTCTTTAATTATGTTTTTTCTTAAAAAATTTTAGTCTGCTGGTCTTCTTTAATGCTGAGTCTTAACCCAAGTGCGTTCAACTGCTGTCTGTGTTGAGCTCCAGTTTGATGTTACCAACATACATTTTTCTTCTATTGTAGAACCTTGGCGAAGCTAGAGTGAAACGAGGGGTACAATATTAACGTGATGATAAAAACTATTTACCGAAATGAAGAAGTCCACTGATTTTGTTCGTTTTTGACAGTGTAGCAAAACAAAGATAATGTTAACATCGGCAAAATACATCATATGACTTATTAACAGTATTTAACATCACAATATGGTCAATGGCCTAACATAATGAATGAATCAACAAAGTTTACTAAATTTTCATATATAAAGGCAAAAATAATGACCCAATGAAATGAAATGAAATATGTTAATTACCTCTTAATCATCGAAACTAAGTCTCTTTCTATTAGTTGATATCATCAGCACAAAAATTCCTGACATTAATTTGTGGATGATTATAAATGCGCCTTCTATAAAATGGTTCTCCTTTGGAACACTGTCAAACCAGAATTTCATAGGCACTACCGGACAGAGCATCTTTGCCGAGGGCCTGAGGATTTGCCGAGGGCAAATGATCGGGCACTCGGCAAAGAACAGCCCTCGGCAAAGGCTCTTTGCCGAGGGCCAGACCCTCGGCAAAGACAAGCACACGGCAACAATAATTCTTTGCCGAGGGCAGCCTCGGCAAAGGGCCGGCCCTCGGCAACACCACCTGACACGACTTCCATCCCCTGCCGTCAATCTTTGCCGAGGGCATTACTGTTAGGCCCTCGGCAAAGACTTTTTAACTGTTTTTGATTTTTTTTTAAAAAAATTCTTTGCCGAGTGCCCCTAGCCCAGCACTCGGCAAAGACAGTCTTTGCCGAGTGCCAAGATGGCACTCGGCAAATTTTCAGTTTTTTTTTGGTTTTTTGACCCTAAATTTTTTGTTTGGCCCGCCTACATTGTTTACAACTTCATGTTCAAATTTGGTGCTTTTTCTAGTTTTTTTTTATATTTGGTTGATTAATTTGATTATGTTGAATTTTTATATATAATTCAAATTTGAACCGCAAGTGCATGGAATATTGTAATCTAGTGCATCGTATTTGTAATCTAGTGCATGAATAACATTTTTCGAAGCACTAGATTATAATATTCCATGCACTTGCAGTTCAAATTTGAATTATATATAAAAATTCAACATAATCAAATTAATCAACCAAATATAACAAAAAAACTAGAAAAAGCACCAAATTTGAACATGAAGTTGTAAACAATGTAGGCGGGCCCAACAAAAAATTTGGGGTCAAACAAACAAAAAAACTAAAAATTTGCCGAGTGCCATCTTGGCACTCGGCAAAGACTGTCTTTGCCGAGTGCTAGGCTAGGGGCACTCGGTAAAGAATTTAAAAAAAAGTAAAAACATCTTTGCCGAGGGCCCTGGATCTGGGCCTTCGGCAAAGGCCCAAAACCTAAAAAACCAACGTCAGCCGAAAATCCCCAAAATGCCTCTTTTTCCCTCCGGCCCGCGCCCACGCTCGGTTCTTTACCCCCGCCGCCGCTCACCTCGCCGCCCGCCCGCCACGCCGCTGGCCGCCCCGCACCTGGCCGCCCCTCCCCTGACCTCACCTCCCACCAGCGGCCGCCCCGCGCCCCACGCCGGCCCCCCTCTTCCACCCCAGCCACCACCACCGGCGGCCTCCTATAGCTGCACCCAGCCGCCCCGGCGCCCGCCCCCGGCGTCCCGCACTGCCCGCCCCTGGCGTCCCTCACTGGGCTCCCCCGGCGTCCCTCACTGCGCGCCCCCAGCGTCCCGCACCCGGCACAGCCAGACTTGGGAAGCTGCGCGGCCGGAGCAAGTCCTGAGCGAGGAGCAGTGTGCCGCCGAAGCACCCCGTGGCCAAGGCCAAGAGAGCCGCCGCGCGCCAGCCCACACCAAGACCGAGAGCCAGCGCGCCAATCCGCTCCCGGTCGACGAGGTACGCCGCCGCTGCCCATCAATCTATAGTTGCTAAACTGCTGGTGGTGTCGCCCCAGTGGCAAAAAAAAATAAACTTATATTGTCAGATGTGTATTTAGACTACTTGTGCATGAAACCTTTGAATCGTACTTACAGTATTATATCGATTGTCAAATGGAATTACACTTTGATCAGTATTGCTATGTTGTGGCCCAACAAACATCTTAGAGTTTGTTTTTAAGTAGCCTGGAAATATGCTGGATGTATGAAAAAAACACAAGAATACCAGTTTGAGCATGGTACTTAGTAGTCCACATCCGAACATATGTATGTAGTTCTTTGAAGAATGAACGGGGAGTGGTTAAGTAAACAGCTGGTACATAGTCGGTGCCATTACACAGCCATAGTAGGCTACTTGTACCTGAAGCTGCGATATGATATACAAAGATCAGTTCGAGCGTCATTTTTTTAAGTAGCCTGGGACTGTTCCTATATACATAGGGTGGATATGGTAAGGGAACGACGGGTGCCTTTGCCGTTGGAAATATAACCATTCGCATGTCTTGAAAACGCTGGAGCATGTCTTAACGTTTACTAATTCCTATAGCAGTTCAGAAATGCAACTGCTACTTGTGGTCAGTTGCCCAACAGTTGCAAGTAATCACACACACATTTGCAAGATGCCACCAAGAGCTCACCGTCTGAATACAACAGTTACAGACGGGTTCTACTTGAATAGATAGTATAGTAGTACCAATGCAAACTAGGAAAACTTTAAGATTTAATTGCAGACTTGTGGTCCAACCAACATTGCTGAGGTTTCCACCTTGGGTCAGATGGCAAGCTAAAGCAACATGATGTAGTGTTACGTAGAGTTCAGGATATGCTACAGAAGAAGCATATAGATTTACAGTTGCTCTGTTTACAGCATGCAAACAATCAACAAGTGTAGAGTTTTCGTGAACCACACAAAAACTAGATGGCCACACTGAAGAATTTTCCTTAGTTTTATTTTAGTCAGCCTAAGACAAGCATGTAACTATATCCGAGTGCTAGGAAACAAATAAACAATCAGAGAAAATGAAAATGTTATCTGCAATATTTCAAAGTTCAATAATCTGTTAGCTAGGTGCATGCTCTTAATCCAACGATTAAACTACCTGGAGCATAAGTAGGTGCAGCTACAGCCCTCATCAGACAGACAAACTATGCTAGAGTCTACTCCTAGTAAGCAGCCGTCGTCGATAGAACTAAGCAAGAAAGCCTGCTAGTATATATAGAGATCCATATGATTCGTCAGCCATGGTATGTACTGACTGCTGCACGACAAGGGCTTAATTAATGCAGACACACAGGTGACAGGCTTCCATTTGGCAGAGAAGCATCAAAGTCACCGTTAATACTGTACACTACATACAGCAGGAATCTCACTTGCAAGCCCATACAAACACAGCCAAGCCAATTAAAGCATTTATTATATACTGTACACTATATTATTAAGATTCATTTATATGTATTTTTAATCTACAGTTGTGCAGATTTTTGCATCAACACATCCAAAGATGAATACATATTTAGGAGCTATTAAAGCATTTCTTATGTGTGTTATCTGCAGTGGTGTAGTCTTTTACATTAAGACATCCAAAGATGAATCTATTGGTGACAATACTCATGTACACTTAATTAATTAGATATGAATACCTCAGGCCATTCCAAGTTTGTCTGTCCCATGGCTAAAATCAAGTGGTGTGCAGCATACAAGCCAGATCTGTTGCCGGTAATAGATTGTTGGTGGCACTGCAACAAATATATATAGAACATAATACACCTAATCAATTAGATGTGAATACACACAATTATTTGAAAATGGAAGTTGAACACAATGCTGAATATACTAGAGGCACAATACTGAATTTTATTTTTGGAAGCACTTACAGCATATTTAGCAGCGTGTGTCAATGGCTTTGGTTTGTCTTTCGTCTTGCTTGTGTGTGTTGCAAAAGCCCTACATGGAAGAGTGCAGCACACATATATGGCTTATTATGTTCGTTCAATGACATTGGCATTTATGAAATAAGTCAATAGTAGGCTAGCAAAGAACTCACTCGTCAATCAACAATTTTAACATGCTGAAATCATGGTTTCCAGATCTGTCGGAGGGGACCAGAGGACCCCGATCGTCTTCGTGGGCGTTGCGGGTCTGCCTGCACCGCGTCGCCTCGCCACTGCACCGACTCGACACCGCCCCGCTAGCCTGACCTCACCGGCACCTTAGGTATAACCCCTCTATCCGTATCATGGTCGTAGGTCGCGCCCAGTTAGGCGTCTCATGTCCGAAATAGATACGGTCGGAGGTATGCGGATCTTTGCATATCTACGACTGTATCTGTTTCGGATTGTCCACATTTTTTGGACAACCCACGGATGCGTAGATGAGGTTAGTTTCCATGGTCCGCTCCGGTCCGAGGCAGACTTTCGGCACCACCTTCTTGTTGTTCTCTGGATACACACTCTCCCTTGCAGGACGTGTATCGGGAGAACGGTGGGGAGGTGCTACCGAAATTTTGTCTTGGATAGGGAGCGGAGCATGGAAACTAACCTCATCTACGCATCCGCGGTTGGGATTAGGACCTATCCTCACCTATTAGAGAGTAGGAACACCACATAGATGCAATTGATGGTTACATTACTATGTGATCTATATGTGGAAGGATGGAAGACCGTCAGTGGATGTACACGGGCCGGAGAAGCAGGAGTGACTTTGACATTGAGTGGGTGAATGGGACAAATGCTTTCTTGGAACATGCATGGAGCTCAGGTGTAGCTAAAGGACATTCTAAACTTTGGTGTCCCTGTAGCAAATGTGACAACAACAGAAGGGTAGACAAGGTGACCATGGGTCAACA